TGTGGGATTGGGTGCGTTATCAGTTCTTACAATGGGGGAGCACACATGTTTGGGCTGTCCTCCTACTCTGCTGGGGCGGGGACCCAGAGTGCCCTTCAAGAAAGTGGCACTGGCTGGGAAGGGAAGTCCTGGGAACAGAATCCCGTGCTGGTGCCCCCAAGAAAAGCTTAGTGAGTTCTAGAGGTTAAAATGCCTCAGTTAAAATGCATCTTTACACATCTGGAACTGTGACCACAGAAAAATTTGTCCAGTGGCCAGTGCACCCAGCCAAGTGGGAACTCAGAGGCGCTGGAAGAGTCCCAGCCCTGATGCCCCGTCCCCGCATCTGGCCAAGTCTAGGCAGGAGACACCTGGCCACCTCAGGGCTCCCACCTACCCACGCCTGTCTATGTCCAGAAGGGACAGGGCAACCCAGGTGCGACTCCTCCAAAACCTCCCCTTTCTCCTGCCTGTCCGACTCTGACTCCCAAGCTGAATGGAGACAAGCGTTCTCCTGTCATTTCCAGACCCCAGGTGGCAGGATAACCAGCATCTTTGCTGTGACAGCTGCAGGAAGGACCACAAAGGGAAGAGGAATCCCTTCCCCGCCTCCTACCCCACTCCTGGCACCAGAAATCAAAAGTAAACACAGGCAATCAGAGGACTCAGCCCAGATCTCGCATTTTGTTATAAGGACCTGGTCCTCACCCACACACAAACACACACACACACACACACACACAAGTATTGCATGTGGACCTCTCAATTTTTATTGAAAATCTCCCATTCCTGATATTTCTTCAATATTTGAGGTCCTCCAAATAAGACTGAACTAGTAGTGTGTGCTTCGAGCGCCACCTGGTGGAAATGTTGAGTCAAACGCCATCCCTATCTCCACGGGAGTGTCGGAGGTCACAAATATTAGTAAGCGCTTCAGATGTTTAGAAAGAAGTGCTGTCCGTCGTTACAGATCCATGTTCTGCCCTCCGTCACCGGTGTGTAAGCCTAAGCTAGTTCCAACCTTCGCCAGGGCTTCGATTTGGAAAAGGATCATGTGCTTAGGCAACGAACCGTCCAAACAGGGCAAATCAGAGGTGGGCATGAAAATTAAACTGAAAAGTCGATCTGATATGTGTTTGCTACAGAGCAGGAGCATTCTGGCATAGGGCGAGTCATGACAGACCAAACTGCAAGGAAAAATAGGTAAGTTGGGGCCAGCAGGTGGCGTGGTGGTTAAGGCGCAGGATTCCCACATGACCCATCATGGTTTGAGTTCCGGACCTGGTAGCTTGCTTTCTCTCTCTTTCTTGAGCGCACATGCCCTATAGAAAATTTTAAAACAATAATAAATATATTTTTTTCTTTTTTTGGAGAGGTTTTTGCTATAGGGCGCGTGCGCTCCCCAGAAAGACAGAGACAGAGAGACAAAAAGCGAGAAATCACCCCCCCGGGAGGATGACCATGCCACAATCCTTTCTCCTCCATTCTCCTCTCGGGATCTTGGACACGCACAAACAAGTGCTGCCCAGCGTGAGTTTGTCACCCGGTCTGGGACTCGAACCATGGTCGACTACATGGAAGTTCAGCAATATAGCCATTACACTAACTGCTGGTCCCAATAAAATAATTCTTGAAAAAATAGAAGTCGGTAAGTCAACAATTGTTTGAAACATTACACATTCTTCTATGGTCAGGTCAGGGCAATGTCATTAATAAGCCTGACGTATTAGCTATATATGGCATGGCATGCTACACATGGGGAAAATACACATTCTTTTTTGAGACATCTACATTTAAAATAATATAGTAATGTTGTTCATAAAATAGGCTCTAAAGAAGCATCTACAAATTTCAAAGAATCTTTATTACTCAAACTATACTCTTTGGTCATAGGCAATAAAATTGAAAAGTTTATGACAAAAGTACTGTGTTTTGATATCAGGACAAACAGGCAAAGATCTGTGAAATTTAGGGAGAAGAGAAATAACGAATAACTTCACCTTGTTTTAGAAAAAGTTAGGTGACTTCTGAAAGAATCGAGAAAGGATCTCCTGGCTTCCAGCCAAGGGGAAAATGAAGATTATAAAAAATTGCTAACATTTTCAACCCAAAGAAGTAAGAAAAGGTAAAAGGGAAGAATAAAGAGGTCATCCGAAATGAGATGATAGAAATAAGTCTAAATGTGTTCATGTTATTAGAAAGATAAGCATATTCAACTCAATTATTAAAGAATTTATCAAATCAGATCAAAGTCCTACAGATTCAATAAAAAGCTAACTGTGAGAAAGACCTACAATGAAACCACAATGAAAATTGGAGAATAAAGGGATGAAAAGCTGGCTTAACAACCTGTCATAGAATAAAACAAACCATATGATAAAAAATAAAGGGGGGAGACCAGCAGTTAGCGTAATGGCTATGTCGCTGGACTCCCATGTAGTCGACCGCGGTTCGAGTCTCGGACCTGATGGCTTAAACTCACACCGGGCCTGTGTGCGTGCATGCCCAAGATCCCAAGAGGAAAAGGGAGAAGGGATTGTAGTGTGGCCATCCCCCCTGGGGGATGATTTCTCGCTTTCTGTCTCTATCTCTGTCTTTCTGGAGAGTGCACGCACCCTATAGTAAAAACCTCTCCAAAAAATTTTTTAAAAAGGGGGGGATAAAGAATAAAATTACATTCTAAAAGAATCCTCTATCTAGAAAATATAGCAATCGTCCATCTGGACATATTTAGTAACATAACTGAGTAGTTTTAGTATATGCACACACTGGGGCCAGGTCCACAGAGCAGCTGTAATGCACTGCTCAAGTGAGGCCAGACCCCACATGGCAACTGAGGTTCGAATCCTCAGCCAGGTCATCTTGAAGCAAGCCAAGCACAGTGCAAGTGCCCAGAATCTGATGGGTTAGAGGACTGAGGAAGACCCTGTGGAGGGGCTCTCTCTCTCTCTCACTTCTCTCTCTCTCTCCCTCTCTCTCTCTCTCATGCATAGGCACATCCTCTATTGTGAATGAAGAAAAATACATGTAAAAAACTAAAAATATACACACAAGTGCTCTAAGCCTCCTCCCTCCTGGACCTGGAGCATTACCTCCTCCATTGAATGTAGGCTGAACTCAGTGACCCACTTCTAACCAATAGAACGTGGCAAAGTGACAGTACGTGCCTTCCAAGGTTGCGTCAGGAAAGACATTACTACCTGTTCCTTGGACACACTTAAATCCTAAGCTCTGGGGAAAGCAGTCTACCATGTCAGATGGACATTTAAGTAGCCAGAGAGAGTCCTAACTGGGGAGAGACAGCTGTCTCCAGCCAACTGGTACCAGCTTGCCAACCTCGGGAGGAAGTCTGGAAGCAGATCCTGCAGCTCAGGCCAGCCCTCAGGGGACTGTAGCCCCAGCTGGCAAGGGCTGCCTCAGGAGAGACCCCCCCCAAGCCAGCACATGAGCCAAGCCGCTTCTGAATCCCAGACGCAGAAACTGAGAGAACCAATGCTTGTTGTTGTTTTAAAGTCAGTTGGAGGTAATTTTATTATTATTATTATTTATACATTCAATTGTAATACATCATTTAGTTTGTAAAGAGATTTGACCCAACATGACATACACCAGACAGCAGGAGAGTTGAGAATACTACACACGACATCATCAATAGGCAACAAACCACATCTGTGTCCCACAAATATCTTACTTCTACATTTTTTCCCAAAAATATGGAACACTTCGCAAATTTGCATGTCATCCGTGCACAAGGGCCATGCTAATCCTGTCCGTATCGTTCCAGTTTTCGTAATGTGCTGCTGAAGCGAGCACTGGAGGGTAATTTATCATACTTCCCTGGATGAGTAATAAAGACCCCAGGTATAGCGAGAGTCTAACAGTCTCCATCATAAATAGATAGGTCACCCAGAAAAAGCCGGGGTACCGTAACGGCAATAAAGCCCATGGCAGAGAAACACAGCAAACACAGTTTGAAAGCCCGAGCTCACAGCTGTGGTCCTTGTCAGCAACTTTTCTCACCCAAGCCTTGCTTAGACGTGAGCGACAGCTCTTTGACTCTGCCTATGTTGGCTGCATGGTCTCCGCCAGGCCATCCTGGTGGTCTAGTGGTTAGGGGAGCCTGGATCTCCCATGGCCAACCTCGCAATTTGAGTCCTGTACCCTGAGGCTTGACAAATAGGCTGACACATGGGTATGCATGTCCCAAATGCAGACAGGGGAGAGAGAAATAGAGGAGAAAGGATTTGACCACATGCATTTGAGGGTCTCTCTCTCTCTCCCTCTTTCTTTAGTGAGCATACATGCCCTCTGGCAAACTGATTTTAAAAATATGTAAGTCTAGCTATAGTAGCACATACTGATTGATATTGCTACTTGGCAGGCTGAGGCCACACAAGAAGCCCAGATTTGATTCTCAACCCATCCTAAAAGCTACACCTCTAGAAGCATATACCTCTGGCCCCAATTACTCTAACACAATAGCAAGACCCTGTTTTTTTTAAAAGAAAATCTATAAAATAATTAATATTTTTAAAAGGGAGAAGATATTTGTAAAATATCTAACGAAAGACTTGTATCCAGAATTTTTTAAAATAACTATTTTCTCTCAAAAATAACTCTCAAAATTCAATAACAATTTTTTTTACATGGGCAAAAGGTTGTTTTTTTTTTTTTAGAGAGAGATTTTTGTTATAGGGTGTGTGTACTGGCCAGAGAGAGACAGAGAGACAGAGAGACAAAAAGCAAGAAATCATCCCTGGGGGCATGGCCATGCTGTAATCCCTTCTCCTTCATTCTCCTATGATATTGGGCAAGCACGCACACACACACAGCATGAGTTTGAAGCTTCCAGGTTCAGGACTCGAACTGCAGTTAGTTATGTGGGAATCCATCAAAGTACCATTACACCATCTGCTAGTCCTGGGGCAAAAGATTGAACATAACTTTTACCAAAGAAGACATATGGGTGGTGAGCTAGCACTGGAAAGAATCTTGACACCATTAGTCAACCTTGTGTTCATAAACACAGTGAAATATCGCACACATCCATTAAGATGGATAAGATTAAATAAGACCTGGTAACACTCCGTGCTGATGAGGATTCAAGTTACTGGGCCCCTCATATGACACTGGTGGGAACAGAAAATGGAAAAGCTATTTTTGAAAACTGGCCCTTTCTAGGGCCAGCATGTGGAGTGATGGTTAAGGTGTGGGACTCTCACATGGCCAACCACAATTCGAGTCCCGGACCTGGCAGCTTGAAAACCATGCTGGGCACATGTGATTGCCTGCCCAGAATCCCGAGAGGAGAGTGTACAAGAAAGGACTTGGCATGGACCCCCTCCCCCTGTGGGGTGATTACAACCCCTAGAGCATGCCTTAAAACCGTCCAGGGTGCCCCACCACCCACAGGATACTTCACGATAGATCCCCAGTCTCCGAGTCTATGCCGTCTGCAGTATTCCCCACCCCACGCCGTCCTCTCCAACCACATCTGACTGCTCCTGCAAAATCAACGTCACATCCCCTCTCACACTCTGCGTCCATTGCCCACGGTGTTAACTCTATCCACGCCTCACTCCTTGTCCTCACCTCTTTTCTGCCTCTGGAAAACTCCTTAGATTCAAGACCCAGCTTAAATGTCACTTGCTCTGTCAAGCTCGAGCCAACTGCTTTGCACACGTCTGCCCCCATATTGAATCCCTCCTCATCATCCCAACAGCCTTTTTCTCTTCTTCCATCTTTCTTTCCTAGTTCAATGACATAGAGTCTCTAGGCCGGCCTGCTAGGAGGTGAGGAGTCAGGGTGAACAAGATGGCCACAGATCAAGATTTCACTATTTTTTTAATTATTTAATTTTATTACTACTATTATTATTTTATATGTAGGCACATATTTTTTTTAATTTGCTATAGGGCAATGTGCTCACCAAAGAGAGACAGAAAGAGAGAGAGGGAAAGTGAGAAAGCATGCTGCCAGGGTCCAGGACTCGAATCGCAGTTGGCCATGTAGAGGTCCAGCACCTCGACCTCCACGCCACGTGCCAGCCCCAGTGATTGCACTGTGAAACAGCCACGCTTGAGAAGCTCCAGGAGAGAGCAGCCCGTGTGCCCGGGCACCACACTGACCTGGCTGTTTGCTCAGGGCACCTCTGGTGGTTGCATTGTGTACCCGTTAGTGTGACCATATTTGGAAGTAGGGCCTTTGCAGAAGTAACCAAATTAAGATCAAGTCATAGTGGGCTGTGTGGGCCCTAGTCCAACGCGTGGTGTCCTTACAGAAAAGGAACTTAGGCCAAGAGAAGGGCGCCATGTGGCAACAGAGGCAGAGATTGGAGTGGTCTGTCAGTAATCAAATCAAAGACCAAGATTGCCAAAAGCCAGAAGAGGCAGGACAGGGTCTCCCTTAGGGCCTTCAGGGGGAGCAGGGCCCTGCAGATACCTTGATTTTGGACTTCCAGGCTCTAGGACCGTAAGAGAACACATTTCTGTCACTTTAGCCTGCCCCATTGATGGTTATTAATTATGATAGCCCCAGAAAACTAAAACAGAATCCATATAATCCAGCTCTCAGACTCCTAGGTCGCATCCCCGGACCCTGGCCCCTGAAGCCTTGGTTGCCTGAAACCGTGGCTGCATTTCAGCTTTCCTTGCCTGGTACCTAATCAGTGCGCCTGCCTGAGCCTCTCCGCAGCCACAGCAGAGGGCCATCCCCTCAAGTTGACACGAGGTGGCGCCAGCAGGCTGAGCCGTCTGGCTTTGTGGGCTCCAGGGGCAGCTAAGGGGACTCCTGGCTGGTGAGTCACCTGAGGCTGAGGTCCCAAATCCAAGGTTCAGCTCCTTAAAGTTCTTCCAGGAGAACATGGCTTTTGTCCTGTCAAAGAGAAGCTGTATCCTCTCCCCTGCAAACTGTCCTACCCCGACTCGCCCTTGGCGGCCTGGTGTCTGAGCTGCCTGTGGAGGGTGCTTTCCTCTGGCTCTGCAGGAGACCGGCCGGCTGAGGCCAACAAGAAGCAGTGCCCCGTGCTGAGGCGTACCGAGGCAGGAGGGTCTGCAAAGGTATTTGGGATAAGTAAGGCTGGCACTTCCTGGGCATGGGCACTGAGGCCTCACTTAGAGAATGGGAGAGAAGACCGGGTCGGGGTAGACAGCACACCCACTCCTTTTCCTAGACTCCGTATTTTCAGCTCCCTGTGGCGGTGTCCCAGGCATCTCTATCTGCTCATGTCCGGGTTTGACCTCTCAGCAGCTCCTCCAGTCTTCTCCATCACAGACAGCCTACTCCAGACCCGTGGGTCCCTTTTGGTACCTTCTTCTCTCTTTCCTACTACATCCTATCCATCGCCATGTTCTGGAAGGTCTGCCTCCCAGCTACATCTGTGGGTCGTCCACTTCTCCAGGCCCAGGCCACGGCCACTGCTCACCTGGACAAGCCCCTGCTCCTCCAGGTGTGGGCCATGGAGCAACATCAGCATCGCCTGGGAGTTGTCAAAGATGCAGGGCCTCTGGCCCAGCCCAGACCAGGGCCTGCATTTTAGCATCTCCCCGAGGAATCCATGTGATATGAGGATTCTGCAGGCATGGCGCTGACTCAGGTCTCTGCACGCACTCTTGCCCTCCCCCATCCCTTTTCAACACAGGAAAAAGAACCTTTTGAAGACCCGTCAGTATTTCCCTTCCCTGCTGAAAGCCTTCAGTGGCTTCCCCACGCTCCTGGGTGATGCCAGCCCTTTGGCATGCCCTGTGAGCCTCTGCCTGCTTCTCCAGCATCGTCTCTCCACTCTTCCCCCAGCCGCCGCGCCCTCCACCGGCCCCTTGCTGATGCGCTGAAGCTTTTATTTCCTACCCTCCCTGCGGAGCAGACACCTCCAGCTGCAGCTCACCAGCCCCGTTCTCTTAGGCCAAGCCCGCCAGGGCCCTGTTGCCTCACACGCTCACTTGTTAGTCACACATTGCTCAGTGCTGTGCGTCAGAGCAGACCCGTGAGCCCAAGGGGAAGAGTTTCCAGGAACACTGGGATTTTCCACCCCAGCCATGTCAGGACTCGGCCCATATCAGATCTGGCAGAGCTGTGGGTCCCAGGCCCCTGAGATCTGGCATGGGGAGAACGAGATGAACCTGTACGGCCGGTCTGGTTCTGCCCTCACAGGTGACTGTCTTCTGTCTGTCCTGTGTGAGGGAGGCCCACCCCGCCGACCTCACTCCAGAAGCAACTCCCTGAAACAGGCTTTGGTTCTCCCCGCTGAACAAGTGCGACAGACCCGTCCCTGGGGCCTGGTCACGGCCCACAGTCCCACGGTCCCTGGTGGATTCCATCTCACTCTTCTCTTCCAGTTCAAAGCCTTTTGTCCTTACCCCTTGCTCTCTCCTGCCATGGACACAGTCTTTCTACCCTTCCTCTGTTTCTCTTATCCCTCTCTAGTCAGCCCAGACCTCTTACCCTGCATGGTCTTCCCAAACTCGTGCCAGCAATTCTCCCATTTTTTCTGAGCAAACTTGAACCCACCTCTGCTCCGCTCACCAGAGGGGCGTGGTCATCTTTCTCCAGGAAGCCTGCCGTGGTCTCCCAGTGGGTGTCCACTCCAGCCTATTATCTACCAAATCCTTTTCTAATATGGTCTATCTGGGCGTGTCCCTCACTCCATGGCCTTCAGCAGCTGCCACGGGCCTGCGCAATCATCCCAATCCACGTCCTGCTCCGCTGGGGGCCCTCTCGCCTTTCTCGCTATCTCCTTCGCCAGCTTCCTCCGTGCTGCAGCTTCCTCCGCGCTGCACGCCTGTCTGTCCTCTGGGTCTGCCCTTGCTGTGGGAGAC